TTATGCAAATCGATCTGATCTTTTAATTTATGCAGAGAATAACATGCATGCTAGCTAGTTATTTTGAAATGTGATTTTGACCTATATTAATGATTGTTAAGTAGCACTAAGAAGTCATATCAATAAGTTGTAAATTTTGTTTTAACATCCCAATTTGGTAAACTATTTCAATTGTTGGGTGGATGTGTTGTTTATGTTGTTATATTATGTGCGGGATTTAGGAAATGTTATGGTTTTAAGGGAGGTTCTGCCAAATTTTCGGAAGAAAATAGAAATCGTCTAATGTTTACTTTGTTTATTTGGTAGGTCAAAAAAAAAAATCAGGGGCCCTTGCAGACTACAAAAGACTTCTCAGACCACTCGCACCACAACCCAGAAGATCACCATTACGTGGGATCCTCGACATCATGCGGCTGCAACAAAGGAGCAACATAGTGCGTTGGCCATCGACGTTGGCTGCGTTATCAAGAGCCATTGCCCCCTCAGGTGGGAGTCATGGAGAGCTGTGCCATAAGAAACCAAGGACAATGTACCTTATGAATTATCGGTAAATATTTTCAACCTTAAATACTACATTCTTATTAAAGTATACAAAGATTATAAATTTTAACTACTATTTATTTGTTGAGTTTTGCAGCATTACTATGAGTTTTCCAACCTCGATTCCAACCAAATGGAGTACATCAACAACCTTTGCTCTAGTAGATTCACTCAATGGAAGAGCAACCTCCACAAGCATTATGAACTATATGACGGTCTGAAGGTCGTTCTAGAAGTTGGGTGCCCTATGGAGTTGCTGGACCGTCGGGATGAATGGGAGTGGCTCTGTGGCCATTTTCAAGACGAGAAAGACTTGGTACGTATAATTTATATTTCAATAATATATTAATAAAAAAATTACAATTTAAAATAAACATTGCATTTTTTTCATTCATTTGTTATAAATATCTAAACTAATACGTTTTTTCTAATTCAACAGAAAAAAAAGTGAAGGTAAACTCGATCAATTGGTCAAAGAAGAAACTTCTTCATCGATCCGGGTCACGACTCTTCTCTTATAGGTTGGAGGAGTGACGTAAGGTAACTGTATATTTATTTTAAGTTTTCTAGTCCACCATGGTAAAGAAGGGCCAGACAATTTTGGAGGAGGTGGCTTCCCATCTTTCCCTAGCGACCCCGATCGAGGAGGTGTTTCCCCTTGAGGATGCTGGGTTTCAGATCATAACTGACACACTTGATCAGACCCTCGATTGTCGGCGTGGGAAGGAAAGCCCACCTTCGGGACCCGTCTGCCTTATCCTCCAGGCAAAGAACTCAACAAGTCGATTCGCTGACATCTGAAGTGTCAGGCTTGAAGCAGCAGATAGCGGCCCAACAATCTCAGATTGCGGTCCAAAACAATTTGATGAACCAAATACATCGCACATTTTAGATCTCTGGCACTCAATTCTGTGACGTTGAACTACCTCCAGAAACAACCTCCCAGCCCCCCACCGCAGCAGCTTCATCCTCCCAGCCCCCCATCGCAGTAGCTACGACCTCCTAGCCCCTTAACACAGCAACGACACCACCAGCCATCGATTGTGACGTCGCAGACTTCTTTTTTTAGTTTTCTTTTAAATTGTTTTCAAATTTAAAAATACTTTTTTTTCCATTGCATGTACATTTACAATAATTTTTCAATTCACTATTCCTCTTTACATTTTCTATTTTTATTTTCATTAAATTCACTTTTACATAAATGAAAAAAAAAAATACATTATTTATAAAACTAATTTACAAATAAATAATAAATAAATAAAAGATTATTTAAACAACTAATTTGAAAATTTTACTATGACGGCCTCTATATCCGTCACGCAAGAGTTTGTGGATCGAACCTACATGTCCGTCGCACAAGAGTTTGTGGGTCGAACTTCAACGTCCGTTGCGCAAAACTTTGAGGGTCGAACCCGTGTCACCGTCGCGCACAGTTTCCTCTTTGTCGCCTAATATGTTATTCCTAGTAGTGCACGTATATAAGGCTCATTGACCGTTTGATATACTTAACGATCACAAGACTGGATTTGGTTTATTTAGTGCATGTCCTAAGTCAATTTATGGACAAACCCAGGGTACCACATATAGATGCAACCCATGGTCTGCTGAGATACATCAAGAGCACACCAGTACAAGGCATTTTCTTCTCCTCTACAAGCTCGTTACTATTGAGAGCTTTCTGTGATGCAGATTGCGTTAGAACATAGACACTAGAAGGTCCATGTCAGGCTATTATATAATGATTGGTGATTCACAAGTTTCTTGGAGGTTTTAGAAACGAACTATATCATCGAGATGATAGTTGAAGCAGAGTATAGGGCTATGACTTCCACATGTTGGGAATTATCTTGGTTGAAATACTTCGTCAATGACTTGGGAGTTAAGGATCCCCAAGCAGCCATATTGTACTGCGATAACTAAGCAGCGCTTCACATTGCATCCAAACCCTTTTTCCATGAGCGAAAAAAAACATATAGAAATACATTGTCATGTAGTTAGAGAAAAGCTGCAAGAAGGCGTGGTCCGCACCGTGCATATGAACACACTTCAACAATTCCAAATATGTGTTTGGTATTTATTGAAATTAAGTTGCCTACTTATTTCTTATAATATTGATACAATAATCAAATACATTATAGCAGAGATATGAAAGGAAAGAATGGTGTCCACATTCACAAAAACTGAAAGCTATATATTTGTTTCCTTCCCAATTTGTTCAAAGGAATTGGGGATCTTATGAACGAGAAAGAGTGTCAAGGAAAAACAATATGAAAATAAAAGATTGAGATAGTTGTTTGAATGAGTAGAAAAATCATCAAAGGCCTGAACTGATAAAACTACAAAGATTTCGCAAAAGTTAATTTAATCACCGTACAAATATGAACAATAATAATAGGGTCTAGGGTTTTGTTTTGCTTACCTATGAAGATTCAAGAGACTAATAACTTGATTGGTGTAGAATGCATCAAAATTTTGTATCAATCTAGAACAGAAAGTAGTGAAGGTGCTAGAACAACGTTCAAAGTGAAATTATCTCTTTCTTGCTCTCACATTTCTTTGGCATTCTTCGCTGTGGGACACACACACACACACACACACAAAAGGTTCTAAATGACGTTAGACGCTAGTCGGGCGGTAAGCTGGGGCCTAGAGCATAGGCGGATTTAAGTAAATCTATTATATTTTGTGTAAATAAATGTATGCTTATACTTAAAATATATATAATTTCATTATAAACTACAAAATAGAATGACATATATATTAGGAAGTATTGGAACATAATGAAAACATGGGGAACATGCATATAATGTGTATTCATTTAATTATTCAATAAGTCTCTTACAATTTATTGAAAAAAATAAAATGCAAAATAAAAGTCATCTATTTTCTGTCTAAGTGAGTTGCAACCTAGGCGAGTGCCTATGAAGGTTTGGGCGGGCTAGGCGGGTGCCTAGGCGGTCTAGGTGGGCACCTAAGCAGGTCTAGGGGCCTTTTCTTAATTTTCAAATGCCTAGACATTAATCGAAGCGGTAGCCAACCGCAGGCACTAGGCGGGGATTTTAGAATAGTGCACACACACATACACACACACACACACACACATTTTTATTTTATTTTTTTATAAAAATGGGGATTAGTTGTGAAGTCCACATCACATCAAACTTTAACGATCCAAACCGTTTATTTTTCAAGTTGCACCTCATAGATCATCCTTGCAAAGTATTAGCCAAATCGGAAATGTTTAAGACATTTAATTGAGTTCAAAAAAATTAACGAATACTTTGTTATATAAGAAACAATGAAATTTTATCTTGATAATTAAATAGACAAATAGTTTCGGATTGAATTGAATTTTTGTAAGGATGATTTATGAAACGAGACTTACAAAATAAATGGTTCAGTTCGTTGAAGTTCGAAGTAGAGTGAGCCCCACACCTAATTCCTATTTTTTTAAGAAATTGAGAATCTCTTTACATAAAATGCTTGATGCGCGCGCGCGCGCACGAATATATACATAATATTCGGACTGAAACCTTAATAAAAGGGTTTGATTCAACGTGACCATTTCTGACAGGAGAAAAAAAGAAGTCGGGCTTTGGACACAATTTAATTTCAACTTCCTTACCTAATTCCTTGAGATTACACAGAAAGAGTTAATATAATAATTGGAAGAAAAAATTAACAAAGAAACCCTGTCCACACGTTAATTAACATTGGAAAAATGTATAATAAATATGGATTCCATTACTATAAAAAAAACACCTGATGATAAAGTCAAAAATAGACCTGGATGATCATTGATTCTTCTTGGCGAAACAGAAAGTTATATTATTTCAAAAGAGAAGGCCAAACCCTGTTTTTCTTCACTCAAACCCACACTTTCTCTGCAGAATAGCAACTATATTTATGAATTCAGTTCTGTAATCATATGACTAACCCGTTTTAACTTTTAACCCTAAACCCTAAGAACAAGGAAAAAAAAAAAACCAAATAAAAAGTTAGGTGACAAAATGTTGCTGCTAATTTGATTCCTGCATGTTGGGAGCAAATTTCAGGTGTAAAATTTAAGAAGAATACAGAAACTATGTGCAATAATTAGCTGCAGAGAAAAAAACTCATCATATCATCCAAGTCCAGTCCATTATATCATGATAAACTATGAATCATTGGCACATCATTAAAAATTAGATCGAACCAAAATTCTCCACCAAGAAAAATTACACAATAAGAAATTAAATAGAATAACACATCAGTTTATGAACAATTAATTTGTAGCATAACTGAATTAAAGGACAGAAACCCAATTGGAAACTAGACATCAATTTTTTTTTTTTCCTTGCAACTGAACATCTCAAAAGGCAGCGAATTAAACTCAAAGAAACAAAAGCTAAGCCAGATTTTATATTGTAACATCCACAGAAACACACCCCCAAAGTTTCTGTCCATCTTTAAGATCTTAATTCACATCTCTCACTTTTTAATCTTGTTTCTAAAATTTATATTTCAATACAACAAAATACAAATCCTCCCACCTCTTCAGTTTCTTCTCACTTTTTCCTAGAAAGGTAGTCATGAATGCGCCCAATTAGCATACGCCTCATGCCCAAGCTGTCCATGGCCACCATTAGGGATCAGATTTGGAGGCAGATGATAGCTGTAAATATTTGGAAGTCCAGATGAAGGATCAGGGAGTTGCTGCTGCTGATGATGATGCCCCCCACTCCCCAACTGGGTTCCACTGCTCCCACCACCAGTTGGGGAACCTCCATTATTATGGCCTCCTCCACCTCCTCCACCCTCCTCATCCTCCTCAAGAGGCAACCTCTCATAAGTAGCATTTGCAAATGTTGCTGCCATCACCATCACTGGCCCTGCTGCCACTAGTGACCCCATCACACTGCCCCCAACCACCTGCCCCTGCCCGCCGGCTAAGTAAACCGTCAGCCCAGTAAACCCGGGAGGGGCGGGACCAGGAAGGAACGCCCCACTCAGAGACAAAATCTCAAACCTCCCATGAAGCACCACCACAGCTCCTGGAGCCGCAGGTTGTCTTAGGGTTACGTTGGCGACCGAGCCACTCCCGCTAAGAATACACATGCCTCTCTGCCGCCGCCTAGCGAACTGCGCCACGCTCTCCGCCACGTCAGTGCCGCTGGCCACCTCCATGACATGGCTGCGGAGGGAGTTGGGGCTATCACGGGTGACGAAGATGGGAGGTTTGGGCTTGTTTTTGGATCCTGGAGGGCGGCCTCTTGGCCGGCGGGATCCAATCTCGACCGCACCTTCTTTGGGCTCAGTATGGTCTCTGTCGTCATCCTCGTCTCTGCCGCTGCTTCTGCCGCTGTTTTCGTTTATAGAGATTTCAAGGCCGCGCTGCTTGTTCAGCGTTGATGAATTGGTGGCTACCGGGTCCATGCCCGGTAACCCCAAATTACCACTCCACCAGGGGTTCGCCAGAGTGACAATTGATGATCAAATTCAGGGAAAGTATAACAAGGAGGAAATTAAAACTAAAGAAGACTATATAAAGACAAGCTCGTCAATTTGCCCTGTTTAACTTGTTTCACAGTTTGAGATCACCAAGCCAAAGCTATATGATGCAGACAGCTCATCAAGACGAAAAAAAAAAAAGAAAAACAAGAAGCAAAAGAAGCGAAGGAAGCTTGTGCAACCTAGTAGGAGAGAGTAGTAGAAGTTGATCAGAGAACTTGGGGAGAAGATAGAGAATTAGATTGAATTAATTGGTGATGTGAGGAACCCATTAGAGATTGAGTTACACGGGTGATGAAGTGCAGGCCAAATTAGATGATCAGACGATGGAGAAGTGGTGAGATGAGATTAGTGGAGAGAATAAGAAACAGATGCAAAAACCCGTAAGCTTGATTGAAAGAATCAACTAAGAACAAAGAAGAAAGAGAGAATATTGAATAAAATTAAGAAAGCGCAGTAATACTAATACTAGCTCGCAGAAGGAAAAGACTGAAACGAAATTAAGTGAGTATATATAAAAAATATACAAGTAGAGAAAACTAATTCAAAATTACAAAGTGTTCATGGGGTTTGGTGTTTAATAAGCGAAGCTCTGTTATGATTTGGGGAGCTGAGGAAGGTTATACCCTTTTTTCTTTCCCTCGATCTCTCTTGATCTCTCTTTAATCTCTCTCTCTCTCTCTCTCTCTCTCTTTAATAAGCGAAGCTCTGTTATGATTTGGGGAGCTGAGGGAGGTTATACCCTTTTTTCTTTCCCTCGATCTCTCTCGATCTCTCTTTAATCTCTCTCTCTCTCTCTCTCTCTCTCTCTCTTTTTCTTTGTCTATATATATATATAAAAGAAGAATAGTTTAGTGGCTGGCGGGTGCATTTTTTTGGAGGAGAAGGAAGAGAAGGAGGGGTCTTGGGAAGGGTTAGGGTTTCGTGGGGTCGCGTGCGCGTGGGGAGGTGGTGATCACGTCGTTGTCTTGGGCCCAACATACATGTCAATCAGCCCTAATTGTGTGTTTTGTCTGTGAGTGTGCGTCCGTGTGCGTCACAGTACTAAGAAAGGCTGGGGAGGACTGAGAGTGAAGGATCTGTTGATGGATGGTGTTGCTCTAGCTACTACTACTGCTACTTGTTACTACCAGATGCTCACAACCTTTCTCCATGGCCTCCCTTTTTTCAGTTTTAATGTACAGTTTTTTTTTCCTAAAATAGGTCTTAACCCATGTTTTCTTTTGTTAGACACACAAACAGACAAAGGACGGTATTCATATGACTATTTTTTAAGAAATAAGGATAATAGTATAATCCATAAATTCGTTATTTGTCCCACTTTGACCTAAACTAAAGAAAAAAAATTACTTATTTGACTCCTATTGTGCAACTTTTCTAAAATCAAAATATTGGGGTTGTGTGACTCAATACAAGTCATAAATGTAGATCAAATAAGTCCCGCAAAAAATTACAATATCAAGGACTTTGAAAGATAAAACCTCACATCTTGATAAGTCTGTCATGCGTGACCCAACGTGCATTGAATTTGAATGGTTAAATTGGGGTAACTATTATTGCCCCTTAGGAACGGACTTACCATTGCCTTCCTCAAAGTTAAGATTGGATTTCTCTTAATGCGTTCTTTTCTATTTGATCAGAAAATATGATCACCGAAGTCATCTTTTTTAAGAACGATATAATATTTATTCTAAAGAATTACGATGTCCAATGAATATAACATGAAAAACAAATGGTACTTTGCCCTAATTGCAAGACACATCAATACAAAGAGCAAATTTGACACTGAATATGGGCAAAACCTTCTGACTGACCGATCCAACATTATCATCCGTAAAAATTCGATTGCAAAGCTAAAATGATATGAAGAAAACCATTCAACTATAAATAAATAAATAACAAACCTACTTGAGCCACCAAGATAAATTGGTTGCATAACGGCATAAGAGGTAGATCCACACTAAAAGTAGATTAAAATCTCCTAGAGAGACACAACAAACTCAAATTGAGTTTCATCAAGTACTCAGAAAATATATCTGCAATCGCATTGACTTGTATAACTCATCCGCTAGTTAAAGTGTCGCAAAGAGTTGCATCAATTACTCAGAAAATAGATCAAAACTAAAAATTCCTTAAAACATGCTCAGGTTTAATTGTTGAACCCATTGACTCTAAAAATTATAAAGATTACGTGACACGCAAGCTAAATAACTTTGAGTTAACTACGTCCTTTTGTATATCCGAGTGTGCCAACTCGCAACTGAATTTGGTCGGGTGAGTAGAATAGATATGGTGGTGGTATTAAATGCGCTACTGACTTCTACACTTGAATGACTATGGTCGAGGAAGGAATGCGTCTTGGCTTTGGGTTCTAGAACCTGAAGACAAGGTTGTTAGATCACTGCAAAGTTCAATAAATTGTTCGGCTTTCAATGTGCCAAAACGAAGTAACCGAGTAACACCTCACTTTGCTGGGAAGCAAATGAAGTGACCTCTTTAGGCAAAAAGAATTGGAAACTCTTCGCCAATTGAGACTTGGATAAATAACCGTCCGATTAGAAGTAGTTTTGTTAATCCAAACTGAAGATGCTTCTCGACCACTTGATTCTACTGCTCTAATGATGTTTATCTAAACTGAAAATGTCGCCGGTTGCGAACACAGTGCTTTTACTTCGATTTGAAGGTGTGTTGACGAGAGGATTAGGATAGTTAGTATTTTTCTCTAGGGTGACAAAAGGGATTTGTGTAGAGCGCTTAAGTTGTTTGTTAAGTTGAAGGGGGCTTCTATGTTGATGCCCAAGTCTGCCAAGTGTTAAAATTATGATAATATTCTAATTTCTCAACATATTCTCTTAATATACTTGGAATTATTCTCAGTGGAACTCTATTAGGCATCGTCTTCTTCAACTCAAACTAAGACTTTGAACCTAGTCCTATTGCACAATTAATTCATACACCATCCAGAAACCAACACTAGTAGAAAAAACATTTTGCGCGATGTAGGTACCTTCGTCGTGCAAAGTCAAAAATCGTTGCCTAAGGGTTTGCACGGCGCATCCTTCATCGCGTGCTAATTGTCGCGCCAAGGTAGTGACAATAGGGTTTGCGCGACGAAGAAGTAACATGCGTCGCACAAAGTGGCTTTACGCGACTCATGTCCTACGTCACGCAAAGTGACTTTGAGCGATGAAGTAGTGCGTCCCGCAAAGTGACTTTGTGCGACGCATTACTTCCTCGTGCAAAGTGGCATAGGTGGCTTTGCAGGACGTAGGCATGCGTCGCACAAAGTGGCTTAGTGGCTTTCCACGATGTAAGACATGCGTCGCGCAAAGTGGCTTAGTGTCTTTGAGCGACATAGGCATGCATCGTACAAACCCTTTTTTTTTGTTTTGGCCAAAAATATTTTTTTTTAATTTTTAATAAATATTGTAATTAAATTCTAAACAATAATGAATTAACCAAGAAAAAGTATTTAATTATAAAATATATGAAAAGTACATACAAGATGTTCGAACAAAAAAGAAAAAACTACAAGTAGTCTTCTAGGGTTGATACATCAAGCTACTGGTATCGGCAGGGCAAGGTGGCTTTGAGGTTGAAGGTGGAGCAAGATTAAGTGCTGGTAGCGAGATATGGAGGCTAGACATGGCTCATACAAAGTCTCTCACCGTCCCAGTATAGGTCCTCATCTCCTCGCCCTGGGCCCTCATCTCTTGTGTCTAGGTAAGCATCCAAACGCACCACTCGTTCTTTTTCATTGGTCGTAAGGCTAAAGAGAGATACAACTTAGAAAACTTTGAAATGATGTCGTAAATATTGAAGGTCTTCAAGAGAAAATGGGAGTTCAGTGGTATCTATATCAGTGTATGGGTCGACCTTAAAGCTGAGGACTCGAGCTTCGCGTATATGTTGGAACCTGGCCTTCATCACTGGATCAGTGGTTTTCTGGTTATCTGTTCAGCATCAGGGCAAGTTAACGCCAACTCAATGGCTTCTTGACATGCCTTGGGCAAACTGTACAAGTCATTGGTGGAATGCTTCTTGTGAAATTCCCGCATGTACTCTAAAGCCTTGCCGAGAAACGGAGGGTGCAGATTTCGTCATATTTTAATTAGTGGCTCTGGCAAAGGCAACAGAGGGAGTTTGCTTTCCGTTTCTTCTCTGAATTTCTCAAAACGAGCTTTCATTTCCCCGGGTCAAAGAAGGAGTTTGATGCACTTCTCAGATTCCTCAATTGTAGTTTCAAAGTCATGATTGATCGTTTTCTTTTCCTGAAGTAATTCGTAAAGACGACCTATTGCTTCTTTCGACTGCCACTTGGTAGCCGAAGTCGCCTGCGCCGCTTATCATCAAGCCATGCAGTTGATCCATTGGCATCGCCGCTTCTGAGACTTAGATAATGCGGTATATACGCCGGTAGAAGAATTGTAGCTATACCATTGTTGGTCGGGTGGCTCAGGCAGCTTAAAGGGTTTTTGGTTTGATGAACTCGAGCTGCTAGAGCTGTGCGAATAATAATCCTCATTAAAGAACTGCGCATCGAGGTCAAGATGCCGTCTGGCCGAGGGTGGGTCGTCAAGTCATTTTTTAAGGCCGAGTCTTTCAAACACCTTCTGGCGCTGTCCTGCGCTGAATACCGTCAGGGATGTTGCGACCGTAGATGGTTGTCGCGGTGTTAGAGCATGAAAAGGTTTTTCTTTTGGCTCGTTTAGGACAATGCGTGTTTGACAACGACTACATAAAACCATCGGCTCATCGGTTTCCTCTGTGTTGGAGTCTGACATTGATTCCACTATGGCTGGTCTCGACAACTCTGTAGATGGTTCGTATGAAGATAAATTGATCTTGAGTTGCGACCGAGAGTTCTACTTTAGGACATGTTGTATCGGAACGAACCTGGCCTTTCTTTTCCTTTTGTTTTTAGGTAAATGAGCATCCACCATACCAACTGTGGTCGAAAGGAAAGGGTCGACATCAACAGTCACCTGTTTCCCAGGAAATTTTAGTTTTCCTTTATCGATCCAGCTCTGAATTGCATCACGAAACACGACACAGTTTTTGTCGTATACTTACTTGAATTGTGGTATTTCCAATATGTTTTGCCCTTCAACTCTTCTGCCTTAGGAACGTTATGCCCTGGCCGAAGTTTGATAATCTTTGCAACCAACAACTAGTCAAAAATTGCATCAGCCTTAGTGATATCAAAAGTATAAACTTTTGATGCTTTGACTGTGGCTTCTTCAAAGGCTGAGCGATTTTTGACATCCTTGGAGTTAGGATAGGCCAATGCCTTACATATGTACAGCTTATCGATTACAATTTCAGCCACGTCTACACTGGCATATTAGGAATCTTCTCCTTTTGCCGATGCATAACTGATCGAAGGATTCTTGTATATTGTTCCTCAGGTCGGAGATTTCGATATCTTTTCTTCCCCGGAGTAGATAATCATATTACTCGACATGTTGAGCCAGTTCATACATATCCTGAAAATTTGCCCCCAAGAATTTCTTTTTGTATTCTACGTCTAACCCATTCAAAGCAAGCCTAACAAACTCGACTTCGGGCAAAGGTACTTGGCACCAATTTCTGGCTGATTTAAACCTTGTAAGATAATCCATTGGTGACTTATCAGATGCTTGAGCCATCATGGCCAATGAAGACACTGACATTTCCATTCCCGGCCAATAAAATTGCTCATGGAATTTCTCGACTAGTTCCTCCCAACTTTGGATGCAGTTAGGCGGGAGGTTGATGTACCATTCGAATGCCAATCCTGTCAACGAGAATTTAAATAGTCGCAGTTTATGGAA